CTCCTGTTCGCTTCAAGCTGCCTGGCTGCCAGCCGCCATCTTGGTTGGCAGTTAATTTGCATATAGCCCTGATTAGCCAATGGGAAGGGTAGCGGAGGTATGGCTAATTACCATGTTTCTCTATTATTAGATAGGATGATGGTCCCTTTATATGTGGGTACTGGGATCCTGAAATGTGTGCTCAGATACTCTCTGAAGTTTTTTTAATTATAAGCTAAATCTTATGATTTTAAATTTCACAAACCTTTGTGTTTTTTTAAAAGGAATTGATCCAAGGCATGAGTGTTCAAGAGAGTACATAGAAGAATATACACTATTATAATATAACTTTATGTCTAGAAAACAGAAAAAAAATCACTTTTATGTACATATTATATCTACAGAAAAAAATTAGACATTTTAAGTTTGTCAAAAGTAGGTAATGAATTATAAAAGAGAAACACTGAGCTAACCTAATGTCTTTAGTATCATTAAAATGTCTTATTTTTTGCTTTTTAGAAGTGATTAAATGTCATTACTCAAATATGCTACTTTAACTTACTGGCCCTCTGAATTAGTTCTTTTAAGAATACAATTTCTAAATTTGTTTTCTGTTTACTTTTCTTTCTTTTTTAAAAGGATATGAATGAACCATCAAGTTTTATACATGGGTCAACTACTTCATGCAGAAATAAAGAGCTAAATTATCCACCTTATATGCCAGGTACAATATTGTTGCTTTTACTTTAATGTAATGTTATTATTAATTTATTTACTATGTTTATGTAATTTTTTATTGGGGAACAGGATTCACATCCCCAATTCTCACTACCCATCTGCACACTGTACCACACTTCAATCCATTGCCAATATTATCTAATACTATATTGGGAAGAAAAATCAAGAAAAATGTTTTACTATAAGAACACATTTCTAAAGTGTTTAAAATTATTGCTTTAATTTTCATAAGACTTTTCCTAAAAATTCTCAATATTCTTTCTAATAGAAAATAGAAAGCTTTTATACAGATTTTTTTTAAAAAAATGTTTCTTTACTGGGGGGAAATGATAAAATAGAAACACTTTTTTGGGGGGAGGGAAAAGTCCAGTCTTTTGGTGTTCATCCTCATACTTTTATATGGACAGTAAACTTCATAAACTGTTAACATAAAGTGATGGCAAAACTCGGGGAGAAAAAAAAAAAACATCTTAAACTGAGAAAAAGTGGATCAAAAGCTAGTGTTGGTTCTTAACCCCAGGATTTGCATTTTTAAAGCCTATTTAATCAGTATTTCTCATCTAAATGATTAAATATAATAGACATTTAGGAGTACATTAATTTTTCTGGTTTTTATTTTGTTACTGACTATAGTAAAAATTTTCACATTTTTTTCAATCACAATGGTAACTACAATCAATTACAATTATAGACTGTTTTTTACATTTGTCATAACATTGGCAGCATGTACAAATGGTTAAAATCAATAATATTTAAAGCAAAATGTAATGTTTTTTCCAAAAGAATATATAGTTGCCTTTTACGCACTTTAATATAGGGCACCTTATAATATATTAGTATTTTTTTCACTGTTTTTTTTTTTTTTCTCTAGAACTCACAAAAAGACATGAGGGATTACATTTCAGAACCATGTGTATGGAAACCGAGCAGATCCTTAGTGATGAATCATCAGTTTTGCATTACAATGTTCACAATCTATATGGATGGTCACAAATGAAACCTACTTACGAGTAAGCCGTGTTCATGATTATCCTTTCTAACTCTGACATCGTTGAGATATTAGATTTAATGTTATCTATTCTGAGAATCCTTCTTTGCTGTCCTTATGTTGTAGCACTTTTCTTTCCAATGTTCTCTGTAACTTACTTGGTCCTTCATGACACTTAGAGAGTCACTGTCCTTTCTCCCTCTTTCTCTCTCTCTCTCTCTCTCTCTCTTTCCACCATTGCTTTAAATTTTACCCCATTTTCAAAAGAATATTAAAGTATCTTACTTTGCTCTCCACAATGTACTCATCTTATAGCAGCACAACACCTAAAACATAGTAGGTGCTCAACAAATGGTTTTGAATGAATGAATAAATAATATATAATCTGATATCATTAATTAAGACATTAAGTCTTGGATAAATATGTTATTTAAATCCATGATTAGCAAATTAGAGTATGTGTGAATGACCTGGAGCTTCTCAAACTTTAATGTCCATATGAAAAGAACTCTTATGTGAGGCCAAAGATAATGGAACACAGGCCATTCTTTGAGTATCAAGTCTTTATTGGCACTGTCCGATAAAACTTTCTACAATGATAGAAATGTTCAATAATTTTGGATTGTCTAATATGCAGCTACTAACTATATATTGCTGTTGACCACTGTGCTTAGTGTTGCTCAGGAATGAGATTTTAAATGTTATTTAATTTAATAAATCTAGGTTTATTAAATAGCCCATGTGGCTAGTGGCCACCATATGACACAACGCAGCTCTAGAACATTGCCTCTTGATTACACACTGTAATTGCCTGGATATTTTTAGTAAATTCTAATTTAATTGGTGTATAGTATATAGCCTAAGAGTCTTAGGTTCTAAAAATTTATCAGGTGATTCTAATTTCAATCCAGGATTGAAAATCACTGCTCTAGTATAGGAATGAAGTAGGTAAAAAATGAGAATCATTTGGGATTAAAGAATATGTGTAATATTTCCTCACTTAGTGAAACATGCTTATCCTATTTCTAGCATGAAACTATTTGTCAACATAGAATATGTGAATTATTTGAGATATTACATGAATGAATGTCTACAGATTTGTTAACCAAATCCAAATGTAGGGTCACTAAGATCATATACACAGACTAGGATGTGACATTCTTAAGAGTAAACAAACTGGTTTTAACAATGCCTTTTTTTGAGAAAAGCATTTTTTTAAAAAAATTAACCATGCTGGCATATAATAAAGGAACACAATTATTCTCAGCTAACCTTACTTTACCATAAAAATATACATATCAAAAAGAACAAAAATATTGAGAATTGACTCATCTTTCTGGCAAAACTTATGCATTTTAAGATGAAAATATGTAATTTAAGGGAAATTGAAAGAAATATTTTTCTTCAGAGGGCAGGTAATTGAACTTCTGGAGCACATGACAGAATCTACCATGGTTCCTGACACATTGTGGAACCATGGTAGATTCTGTCATGAATAGATTCTTAGTAAATTTAAATGAATCAATTATTATCCCACTACAACTATCAAAGTTGTATGAATAAATTCAAGGCAACCATAGGTAAAAATGTAAATAGTTGACATTTAAAGGTACTTGGGGATGTTTAAGGTCCATTTTAACTAATAAAAAATATTATGGGGAAGATATCAGTACTATCTTCTGAAGAACAACCTTTAATATAAAGTCATAAAACATGTCTTTAATAGTTTTAATTTTGCTCTAGTACATACATTTTTCAGAAAAAGATTTCAACCATGTTTGTTATTTACATTAAACATATTAAAGTTTTAAATGTTGAGTTACATTTTTTCTTGAGTTACTATTATAAGCCAAGTACTGTATTAGATATAAGGGGCACAAAAAAAGATTAGCACAAGGTCCTTAACCTCAGGAATCTCAAGGACTCATGATGGAAGAAGCTCTATATATAAACAAATCAGTACAAACACTGTGGCCCATGCGATAGCAAATAAATGATTAGATGCTGTTGAAAACATGTTAGTGAGTTGTAAAGTCTGTCTAACTAGGTATTTGAAGTATTTTCTCTGTGGTAGATCTCTAGTTTTTATGCATATACAATTTATTTTGAGTAATAGAAAATAAATATTTTCTTTCCAATTAATATAATTTTCAAATATTTTTTCTATTTTACATATTCTTATAATGCAGTATTAGAGAGAGAGAGAGAGGGAGAGAGAGATGTAATAAAAAGTAATGCATTATTATTCACACTAGAATGCACAATAAGTTATTAAAATCATTTTTTAAAGAGTGAGGAAGGGAGGATAAAAATGACCTTATTTGTAAATTCTATCCTCTTGACCTGGCTTTCAATAAATTCCATTCTTAAAATATAAAAATTACTTTTATTTTTAAGATCCAGGAAAGACTTGTACTCTTTAAACTAGCCTCTAAAACAAGAGATATTATAGCAAGTACTCTATGCAGAGTAATACAAAAATTAAGTATTAAGCCAAAAATTAGAAGGGTTTGGGCCATCAATAGTTAGAACTTTATTCAAGAAAACTCATTTAAGTAGAATAAAATAAGTTTATTAAATTTTTTAAATGTTTAGTTGATTTGATAATACAAATATTTGATTTAACTTGTGTCCATTGAATAAACAAATGCAGGGAGGCCACTCAGGTATGTCAATCTAGCAAATGTTGGAAGAAAAAAGATATCCTTCATACCCCTGAGAATTTTCTAGTATATTGAGACAAGACTCACATATAAAGAGCTAGTTGTAATAAGAGCCAACATAAATACCACAAATCAAATTCTTTTTTTGAATGGAATGGTCAAAAGTAGAAATATTTGAAGAAAATACCTAATGTAAATCCTTCTTCACTTTTATTAGTGCATTGCAGAAGGCAACTGGCAAGAGAGGAATGGTTATATCTCGTTCCACATATCCTACTGCTGGACGATGGGGGGGGCACTGGCTTGGAGACAACTATGCACAATGGGACAATATGGACAAATCGATCATCGGTATGGGAGAGTCACCATCTTTATCATCATTCTTTTGAGTTTTCTATTAAGTATTCACTTTTTCTGGCATTTGTTCATATACCTTATAAGTGCATCTCAGAAAAATGCTTTGGCATTATGTTTTATGACAAATAGCCCCACGATAAAGTAGTGGCCCAGAAAGCAGGGTCTGGGGTTCCGTATAGAAACTAATGATTTCCAACTAGTTCGTTTTGAGAAAATAATTTCATCACTTTCTGTTTCAGTTTCATGGTTTGAAAGGGCAGGAGATGGGAAAAATAACAAACTAAGAATAGATATGAGTAGAAATTCTAGATTTTAGGGAATAAGAATATTTTAAACCACATTTAGAAAGAAATTTCTGGCAATGATTGGGTAAAGAGTAAATAAGACATTGTCATTTTAAAGAGCAAAGGGATATTTTTCTGTTGGAGATCTGGTATTAAAAATGCTTTACTATTCATTTAGGTTTCAAGGAAAACACATAATGCTTAGAAATATTCCTTTAAAAGAAGAGTTGGGAAATCACATTTTATCACAGTGATCATTCCTCAGAAGATTCTATTTAACAAAAATAATTCAATTTATTTCAAATGATGAGAACTCTAATTAAATAATTACAAAATAACCTTTTATTATAAAACATAAAATCAAGGAAATCACTATCACTTTCTTCTCACACGATAATGTGTTCGTAACAACTTTGTACTTTAAATATGTTATCTTAAAATGTCAAGGAAGCATATCCTGTTTTATTTTGATAAATGTCATTAACACTATAAACTTAAAAGTATGAAAATTATAAAAAGAAATGATAGAAAAGTATGTTGATAATCTAAAAAATGTTTGAATTAGAGGTTTGTATTAGAAATGGAACATATTTATAAATAAAACATATCAAAATATATATGAAACTGTAGCTTTCTAAGACATTTTTCCTAATTTTTTTAAGGTATGATGGAATTTAGTCTCTTTGGAATTTCATATGTAAGTAATTCTATTCCTTTCATTTTTATCACTTATAAATATTAAGAAAGTAACTTAAAACTAATTAAATACAACAATGTATTTTAGACTGGAGCAGATATCTGTGGTTTCTTCAATAATTCAGAATATCACCTCTGCACCCGCTGGATGCAACTTGGAGCATTTTATCCATACTCAAGAAATCACAACATTGCAGGCACGAGGGTATGTAATTATTGCATTTACTCTCCTTTCTCAACCCCAACCCCACCTCCCACTAAACATATGTATTTTTTTTAATAAAATTCACTCCACCTCACTGATTTCCAGATGAATGCTTTGAACCTCCGTACATTTACTGAGGACTTCTAAGCACATAATTTTGAAAAAAATTCTTACTTGGGTTACTCTCTACTTTTGGATTCAAGACTTGGTTAGCTGGCATACTTACTGCTGTTCTATGTAATTTTGGAGTCGGTAGGGGGGATAAATTACCTCTGGAACTTCTTCCAAACCAGAATGGAACCAAAAAAAATCAACTTCAAACTAAATAATTAGTCATGAAAGCCATTTGAAATACTAGAATCAATGCATGAAATTGGAAGATTTAAAAGGCGTATGTTAAAACAAATGAGTTGAAGAATTGAGGGAGAAAAGGAAGAGGAAAATCATGAGAATTATTTTCTGTGGGGTTACACAAATATACTCTTCACTAAGTTGTCAGAAGGAATTTTTGAATGAGAAGAAAGATGGTACTAAAGTTATGGAAAAATATGAACAATTAGAGGCAAAGTTTTGTGATATTTACTTTCAGTGAATAATTACAGAGGAAAGATGCATTTTCAAAAACACCTTACAGAAGGTTGTGGACAAAGCTAGTCTTTAAAGGATGAGTTCTAGCCACAGTAACTGAATGGCAGAGCTCACCATGTGCTTGAAATGCATCACTCAGAAAATTTTAGTCAGAATAGAGGAGGGGATTTATTTTAGAAAATGAAAATGAAAACCTATATAAGGTAGGAAAAAAGTATGTGAACATACTTTGGAAGAATGTGAAAGTTGGACAATAAAGATATAACTTGATGGGATAGGAATATTTAACAGGAAAATTCAACAATAACACAACTTAGAAAGTTGTACTATTAAAAAAGTAGGGTATGAATCGATAGAAACCTGACCATGATCATTTAACAAGTATTCATTAAGTCTATTAGTTAATACTTACAAAATGCTGCCCTACCAATTCATATAATGTAGGAAGGATAGTGATAATAAGTAATTATGTGTATATTTATACTTATTTTTCTTTATTATACACATATATTTATACATTTATATAAAATGCCACATACAAATAAATGCATATGAAGGAAAAATGGAGTAAGTTAAAGTGATAGAGATTTATGGGGCTTCTGTTTTAGAAGGGGTATCAGGGAAGTTCTCTTGGCTGAAGTCACATTAGCATTAGAGCAGAGAATTCGGTGTGGGGAGAGCAACCAATATAAATATACTAGAGGCCCCATGCACAAAATTCACTCATGGGTGGGGCTCCTAGGCCTGGCCGTCAATCAGGGCCAATTGGGGCCAGGCCGATCAGGGTCGGGCCGGAGAGGAGGTAACAGTCTTTTTACCTGGAGTGTGTATTCTAGAATAGACTTGGGCATGTTCTTTTTTTTTTTTCTTGTCCAACATTAATTAGGTCTTCACTTCCTCATATATAACTAGTTCTTTAGTATCCTAATTTATTTATTTCTGATGAGAACATACAATGTACAGTGTTAACGTGATGGGCTCAGCATGTCTCTATTTATTTTAGTCCATTTTTTATAACATTTCATTTATCTCCTAGACTTTTGACCCCTACACTTTGTGTCATCATAGTTGACAATATATTTGTCACTTATTCAAATGTAAACTGCTCTTTACATATGATAACTTAAACTAAATCAAGCCAGAGACTTAATGTCACTTTTCATGGTTAAATGTTAATATTGTGTTGTCTGTGTGAGATAGAAACATTATTGTATAAGATTTTTGTGATGTAGTATATTGCACATGACAGTGAATTAATATTCTTGCTTTTTATTTTCCAAATATGTATTTCAAAATTATGTTTTAAATAAAAATAAAAGTTTATAACTATTTCAATTTGGTTTATTTCAGAGACAAGATCCTGCTTCCTGGAATAAAACTTTTTCAGAAATGTCAAAGAATGTTCTAAATATAAGATACACTTTATTGCCATACTTCTATACACAGATGCATGAAATTCATGCTCATGGTGGCACTGTTATCCGACCGCTTTTGCATGAGTAAGTGCAAATATTTTTCCTACCACAGACAGATAGCTTCCAATTAATTTACTCAATAATATCTTTTAGTACAACATACAATATATTTTTAAAGATTATGAAGCATTTTACATTCCCCTTACCACCAGAACATTTTAATTTTTTTAAAAGAATACCCATTTAAAAATATGTTTGCATTGTTTTTAGAGAGAGAGAGGAAGGAAAAGGATGAGAGAGAAACATTGATGACAGAGAAGGATCAATTGGCTGCCTCCTGCATGCCCCCTACTGGGAATCAAGCCACCAACTCAGACATGTGCCCTGACCTGAAATTGAACCAGGTGACCTCTTGGTGCATGGGACAATGCTCAACCAACTGAGCCATACTGGTCAGGGCCAATATACAATATTTTGAATTTGAAACATTTTCATTATTATTTTAATATACATTTTGGATAAACGTTTTCATAAATAAATCTTCTGATAGATATACTTATATATGCCATTAAAATGAAGCAAAGTAGTTATTAAAAAGTAATTATTCTTCCTAGGAATTACTATTGTATTCCAGATGTTATTCTAGATTATTATATACCTTATTACATTGAGTATTTTAAAAAGTTTTCTACATTAAGTAATATTGTTCTGCATTATGATTAAATTCATTGCTGTTTACAGTAGTTAAGCAAATCTTACACATATCTATATATATAAAAGCCTAAGCAACCGACCGACAGTCCAGTAGCTATGACACATACTGACCACCAGGGGGCAGAAGCTCAACCCAAGAGTGGAAACCACAGGCATGGAAAATGGAACAGACTGATGAATCTCAGAGGGAAGTGGGGAGGGAGGAGGGCAGGAAGAGATTAACCAAAGATCTTATGTGCATACTAAAAGCCTGGTGCATGGATTCCTGCACTGGTGGTGTCCCTCAGCCAGGCCTGTGGGGATCAGGTCGAAACTGGCACTCCGACATCCCCCGAGGGGCCCCAGATTGCAAGAGGGCACAGGCCAGGCCAAGGGACCCCACCAGTACATGAATCTGTGCACCAGGCCTCTAGTTAATTCATAATTGAAAAAGAAGATTACAGCCCTCTTAGTAGGTGTGCTAATGGGGTACCTTAGAACAGTTTTAACATGCTCCTTAGAAAATTTGTTTGGATTCACTTTTAAAGATCAAACTGATATATGGCTAAATCTTGAAATTTTATTCCAAAATTTTAGCCTATTCTATTTTTAAGACAAATATAAGCTGATTCTTATTGTAGATGTTACAAAAAACAAAATACATATTCAAAAAAATACAAAAAAAAACCTTGAAATAATCATAGTATACTTAGCTACCTGTGTACCCTATATTATCAGAGTAATTGAAAAAGGCAATTTGTTATATTGCAGTATTGATAAACCAACGAAAATTACACAGCATAGACATTTACTCAAATTGAACAGTAGTAACCAAGGTAAAATTCTCCAAATAATAGCATGATCAATATGCCTTAAGTTCTAATTATAAGATGAAAGATCCAGCTTTCTAAAAAATTTTTTTTCCTAGATTCAAATTATCCTCTCTAGTTGCTTTATTAAACCATAATCCTTTCTTTATTCCTGGTAACAGCTTATTAATCTCTTGACTATTTCATTTTTACACTCCCCACTCCCTTTGTCATCTCCCTAGTAACTTCCCGGAATCAAGTATTAGCTCTGGACTGAGTTCCAATCAGAAATATTATTAACGATGCAAACTCTTGTCCTATTGAAAACACCTGGGCCTTTGCTTCCATTTGAAATTCATGGAAGAGTAAACCCAGAAATCTGCCTTGGCATTAATCTGTTTGTAATAGAACAAAACATAACAGAAATAAAAGAACAAACCTACAAAAAAATTATACTTCCATTTTAATTAGAGGAAAATTGTGGATATTTAATAGTGTTTATTCTCAAGATTATATTCTTTCCAGCAATTTATATCTAAAATTCAGAAATCTAGTAACATATATAGGAACCTATAAGTACATATAGATCCACTATCCATCGAATTCTAATCGAAATACGATAAGCAAACTCTTTAAAATTACCAAATCAACACGCTTGTCTCGAACTTTTTTCACAGGGTATTTATAATTTTTGTTTTCTAGTTTGTCAATGTTCTATTTCTACTTAATATTTTGTACCTCCATGAGTTCTCTTCAAATTAAATTTCTCATGCAGTGGTCTTATAAATTTAATCACAATCCTCTCCATTTTGTCAGGAGGTTTAGTCATGGTCTAGATTTACTTGTCAAGTATTGTAGCATTGCACATTGAATTCCAAGTCATAGGGTTATTTTTGCTTTTTCATAATTTGGTTTTCTTTTTAATCCACACAAGCCCACACTGCAAAATGTGATTTGAATACTTATTTAATGGTACCCAGAAGAGATAGAGTTCTTTGATTAAACTATCAATAAATATTTTGTCAAGGTTCTATAAGGAGAAGACTACCTGGGACATATTCAAGCAGTTCCTGTGGGGCCCAGCATTTATGGTTACCCCTGTATTGGAACCTGTAAGTCCTACCACATATTTTTGTTCATAAAATATTTTTCCTAATTGATATATTTTTAAATAACTATATTTTTAAATTTCAGTATCAGACCGTTGTAAGAGGCTATGTCCCTAATGCTCGGTGGTTTGATTACCATACGGTAAGTAATTAAAGAATTCTGGGGAATTTACTAAACAGAAATGGGTTTAAGTTTGATCTTGATCTTTACATTAATGATGTATTTAATGAAATACACTTAAAATGAGTAAGGTATGTTTTGCTAATTAGATCTGAATCAAATGAACACACAGTGAAAGAGAATTAATTTATTCTGCCATAGTTGATTATGTAGTCATTGATTTATTTTACCAAATAAACATGGGAAGTACATATTGTACATCAAAAGGTCATTGCCCTTTATTGGCTATGCAAAATGATTATTACAGGTAATGCAGGCCTTCCAGGAATAATGTATGTGGCAGTTAAGAATAGTTTTTGTGACCTTTCAAAAATCCGTATGTTGCCCTAGCCGGTTTGGCTCAGTGGATAGAGTGACTGCCTGGGGACTGAAGGTCCCTGGTTTGATTCTGGTCAAGGACCCATGCCTGGGTTGCAGGCTCCTCCCTAGTAGGGGTCTTGTAGGAAGCAGCCAATCAGTGACTCTCTCTCATCATTGATGTTTCTATCTCTCCCTCCCTCTCCCTTTCTCTCTGAAATCAATATAAATATACTTTTGAAAAATCCATACATTTTCTGCATGTGAGCATGACAAAAATAAGTATTTGTAAATTATTTTCAAAGCTACCATAAAACCAAGGTCTGAGTATATGCTTTAAAGAACATGATCTTCTAAGTAAATGTCTGTGTCTTTATTTTAAATTGGAAAGTGTGTCATTTGATTTTATAAATGTGCCCCCTCATGTTGCAATCCTATATAATAAAAGGCTAATATGCAAATTGACCAAACAGCGGAACCATGGGTCTCTGTGACGTGCACTGACCATCAGGAGGTAGATGCTCAATGCAGGAGCTGCCCCCTGGTGGTCAGTGCACTCCCACAGGGGGAGCACCTCTCAGCCAGAAGGGCTCACAGCTGGTGAGTGCAGCAATGGTGGAAGGAGCCTCTCCTGCCTCCATGGCAGCACTAAGGATGTCCTCCTGCCAGCTTAGGCACGCTCCCTGTGGAGAGCGGGACTAAGCAGTCAGTTGGGAATCCCCCGAGGGCTCCCGGACTTCGAGAGGGCGCAGGCCAGGCTGAGAGACCACCCCCCAAGTGCACAAGTTTCGTGTACCGGGCCTCTAATATTGCTAATAATTCCACTTTTTGCTGCTTTTGTTCTTCCTTCCAACTCTGTCATTTCTAGGGCCAAGATATTGGTGTCAGAGGAACGTTTAAGGATTTTGATGCTCCCTTTGATAAAATAAACCTTCATGTTCGTGGTGGTTACATCCTACCCTGTCAAGAGCCTGATCAAAACACATTTCACAGGTAAACAAAGTGGTTACAGAACTCAGATTAAATTTTAAGATACATCAGCTAGAATTGCCAAGGATTTGGAACGGTCTGAGATTCTACCCCAGTTCCAAGCTTACAAATTAGCCCGCTAGTTTCATGGAGCTGAGTCAGAAGCAAAGAGCCTTTTTACTCATGGCATACCAAGACTTATGACCTTCATGTTTGCTTCAGTTTTCTCTGTTCCCAAGTCCCGTGGGGGTGACATGAAGTGGCCTAAAAGATACTGCATATGCAGGAGGTTTGAGACACAGCTAAGGAACTCCAAGATCAAGGAAACTCAATTTTTTTTTGTTATCAACTGTAAACAAACCTGTGTATTCTCTGCTTTGAATTATTATAGTGGACAGTGATTTACAATTTTATTAAACACTGCCCTGTCTTCCAATACTGTTTGCTTTAAAAGCATCCTTTAAAGGATAGTCAAAAGAAAAACTGTCAGTGCCTCTATATGCAAGATATGCAAGAACTTGAGAGACTCATGGAAAACTGTCTGAAAACATGATATTCCCTCTTACAGTAAGAACATTTACCAAACTAATATACCGACTAAAACTTACTATCTTCTGTATGAATATGCAAAGGTGTTGACAATAAATGCCTAAGTTCTTTTTTTCCTGCCTCTGACATGTGGAAAGAAATACTATGAACATGATTTTAAGTGACCCATTTTTAAACTTTAAGCAAGTATTGCTCAGAAGATTTCTCTGAACTTCAAGCTTTTCTTTTCCCCTTTCTCTGCCTCCCTCTTTCAGTCAAATATTCTTTGACTCACTTTAGTCAATGAAAATGTGGGTATCCATTGATGATTTCACTACTCCTTCAAATGCTAAGTCTACTGCTGCCCAGAGAAGAACCAGATGCGTCTCTTAGTAGCCTTGTCCCACACAAAGTTAAAAGATTATTTCAATTTTTCCATTCATTGTCATTCATAACAGATTATCTGGCTAAGACTCTCCTCTCTTCTTTGCCCCAGAAACCCTTATTAGATCTGAATCAAATGAACACACAGTGAAAGAGAATTCAGTTATCCTGCCACAGTTGATTGTGGCATTTTCTCCCTCTCATTTGGCAATATGTCCAGACTGTGTCTTCTGTGACTGCCACAGAGTCACAGAAGACACAGTTTCCACTGCCTGAATTCAGACTTACACATTCAGGTTCTAGAGGACTTAGTCCCTCTAGCTCTTCTGTTTCTATACTGCATCCACTCTCTTGCTCATCTACATGCTCACAGCCCCAGTTAGCATGAGCAGTCTCTTTCTATTTTCTGGAGCCATTTAGATCAGTTTGTATCAATATTCTACCTTGAGATCAATTAAAGATAAGAAAAATGATATTATGTGAAAAATGAGGGCTTCATGCAGGGGACCCAAGGTGTTCCTTGAAGAATCCTTTTGTTATGAGAGAAAAGAGAGGCTATTCTGTGTGTGTGTGTGTGTGTGTGTGTGTGTGTGTGTGTGTGTGTGTGTGTGTGTGTGTAAAGTAAATAGGATATCAGTTTAGGTATATACAGGGTTAGGTAAAAATAGGTTTACAGCTGTGAATATACAAAGCACAGAATTAATTCTTGTATTATCATTTATTTATTATTGTATTATTTTCCATATGAACAACTATAAAACTACTTTTGTCCCACCCTGTATATGGAGTAGAATGCAAGTTGTGAAATTCCTTTGAATCTGTTTTTAAATATGTTGGAAAATTTTTAAACCAGAGTTTTAATGTTGATTATAAGATATACTTCTACACCAGTAAACTGAATTAAAATACATGCATATATTCATGTTAAGACATGCTAATATGTGTACATGGAAAATATCAAAGTGCTATGATATTTTAGATATTCTGATATTTTAGGAGACTTCCATGGCAGTACAGCCTTCAATGTTGGTGATTGGAAAGGCAGATAGTTAAGCATAATTTGTCTGAGAAATCTTTCCTTACTAGTATGAGGCTGTTAAACCAACTCTCTTGTACAGTGAGCATGGAAGCAGATATTTAGTTTCCAGACTGGCCTATGTAGCCAGAAGCTTGAGAAATATTGTCCTCTCCAGTGATAGGACTTACAACTTGCTGGCTACCCTCCACATTCTTTTTAACAACTGCCAATGATAACTCAGTGATTTATATATGGAAATGTGAGGAAGATATAAGACATAAGAGATAAAAATGCTATAAAATTATTTCATGTTTAATGATCAATGAAAGGATTACAGTAATAATAAATATGTTAATAAACTTAATATGGTCTTAATTATTCTATATAAGGCCTCTTCTGATTTATTTCAGTAGGTGGACCCTTGAGACCAAACTACATGCATGGTATTTTTATTAAATATTTAAAAATTTTATGGGTTATGTCATTCCCATAAACTCATAAGAAAAAGTAAATGCTTTACTTTCTTTGTCTATAACAGTTGCATTCCCCTTAATTAATAGTCTTAGTTGTGTTCTCTTGGATATGTATATGGATGTCATATTGTAACAACACATATGCTACTCTATAAATATTGATAAAATGATATTTCTTCCTTGTAGTCGACAAAACTACATGAGGCTCATTGTTGCTGCAGATGATAATCATATGGCACAAGGATCTCTGTTTTGGGATGATGGAGAGTCTAAAAGTGAGTGGTCTATTAGTAGACAAATGTAGTTGATGACATATATATTATCATATTACTTATATGTTACCTATTATTGTAATTTGGAAGCTTAATAAAAATCTAATAATATTCTTCAAAGCTAAACTAGTGTAATAAATAGTTGAACCAATTTTTTAAAAAAGTGTTACAAGTATTTAAAGAATTTCTTCTTATCTTAAATATACTTCATCTCTATGGCAAATGTCTGGATAACTAGGAGATATGCTTGGGTAGGGATTCTATAGCAATCATTTTTGTTCTTCTAGAAGCTATTCCAGTGATGCTCACATAATAGACATTCACTATGTATGAGGTCAATTGGGCTGAAAACTGTGTTCCATGTGTATGCACTATTGATGCATAAGAGTGCCTCTAAAACAGTGGTTCTCAACCTGTGGGTCACAACCCCTTTGGGGGTCGAACGACCCTTTCACAGGGGTCACCTAAGACCATCGGAAAACACATGTTGAATATATAATTACATATTGTTTTTGTGATTAATCACTATGCTTTAATTATGTTCAATTTGTAACAATGAAAATACATCCTGCATATCAGATATTTACATTACGATTCATAACAGTAACAAAATTACAGTTATGAAGTAGCAACGAAAATAATTTTATGGTTGGGGGTCACCACAACACGAGGAACTGTATTAAAGGGCCGCGGCATTAGGAAGGTTGAGAACCACTGCTCTAAAACATGAGGTATTCCAGAAACAAAATTCAGGTTTGTTCCCTAGACTTTTAACTATTTTGTATTTTTTTTGTTGGTTTTTAATATTCAGTATTTTGACATGAAAAATTTAAGGATTTAAACTTAAATCTATATTTACTCTATGACTGTTCCTCAAGACCAAACTGAACTGCTAAACTTTTAGCAGTGTGTGCTCTGCTGACCATTGTTATCAGAATCACCTGGGTAGTTTGTAAAGCATGATGATTCTGAAGAAGGTAAAGGGAGATAAATAGTGATGGAAGGAGACTTGGGGTGGCAAACACACAATACAACATACAGATGATGTATTGCAGAACCATATACCTGAAACATGTATCATTTTATTAACCAAGGTCATCCCAAAAAATTCAGTTAAAAAAAGAACGCAGATTAAGGGGTCCATTCAAATTTCATTAATTTGGGAAGAGGCCCACCAATCTGTCTTCCAGTCAAATGTCCCCAGATGGTCATCGTACTGGTAGAGGATTAGATTTACAATGTACTAGCTCGACTAGATAGGCATTTTGAATATTCTCTTAAAAACCTTACTCATAAAACTAACATCTGTGTGGAGCTGAAGTTCTCATGGGCTGCTCACTGTAATTTAAATAAATTATGTATAGATGAGAGATTTTTCATTATAGTAAAGACGTGTATCTTTCATCATTTTAAGTAAACCATAGTTAATATTCTGCAACCATAAGACATGGGAATCTATTAGCAAATAAAATATATTAGGAAGTTGATATAAGAATCATGTGAAAATAATTTTATAAAGAATCATAAGGTGGTTAGCAAGATTCTTACAATAAAAAAAAATTCTCAGTATTTTATGATTTAGAGGTTGAAGAATCAGGGATAATCTTATGTTGTAAAAGCCCTGACCATGAACACATTAACTGAAGTTCTACTAACCTTTATTCTATTGAAGTTTTGTTGCAGTCTTTGTTTGTTTTTCAAATACTGGAAAGTAACTGCACATAATTTAGATATTCAGGCAAGCCAAATGGTTCTGGTCAATTAAATCCACTTTTTTTGTTATATTGTGTAATCTCACTACATTTGTTATAATTGAATATAAAGATTTTAAAAGTCTCCTGTAATTTCTTGAGTAAACAGCAGCAAAACACTACAAATACGTTAGAGCCTTTGGATTAGATCAGAATCTTCAAATAAGTTTTCTTAGTAAGCTTGCAATCTAGTTAATAGACCTCCATCTAAATAATTAAGTAATTCAGATTTCATGGAATATTATTATTTGCTGTCCTATTCTTTCTTTCAAAGAAAATTAAAAAAAATAAATCAAAACAAACTTATTCTGACACTTGTGTACATTAGCAATTTTCAGAGGATTAATGAATACAATGCTGGCATGTATAAGTGGGAAAGAGAATTAAAATGTAAAGCCTTTTTCAATGTTATCCTAACACTTACTTGTTTCAATCATGCATTTGACTCTACTTTGACTTCCTGTCTTATGCTTGTTTGGTTTTACATAGAAACACAGTCTTCTCAGTTGGGGAAACTGGACTTGATTCCAGACCTTGATAATGAAGATGGCCGTCAACTTAATTATGGGTCAATTTAGGATTTTTTAGCTTTGTAATGGTGCCAAAGGAATGCACATGTAGTAGAAACTTTGAATATTGATCCATTCCTGGGCTAGTGATAGGCTGTCTGATACTCTCTCGTGATGCTGGGCAGCAGCAGAGAGGCACAGCTCCCAGGATCAGGAGGGTAAACGACCCCTACTCTGCAGTACACTCTTGACAGCTTTTTTGGATATTGTGTTTTGTGTTTTCTGTATTCAATACATTTTAAAATGCAACAATTTATTATAAACTGGATTCTGTGTTAGGTGATTTTGCCCAACAGTAGACTAATGTAAGTGTTCTGACTATGTTTAAGGTAAGCTAGGCTAAGTGAAGATGTTCATAGGTTAGATATATTAAATGCATTTTCGGCTTACTATATTTTCAATTTCTAATGGATTTATTGGGATATAACCACATTGTAAATAAAGGGGCATCTGTAATTAATTGTTTCACTTTTGGCCATTTATTTAACTTCTCTGGAACTTGCTTTCATCTTCAATATAGTGGGAATGATAATACATATTTCAGAATAGTGTGATAAAATACTTAGATAGTAAGCACTTGCTATACATTATAGCAATGACAATAATTATCAAATTAGTTTTAAATATGGCAGAATTATATTTTATATACAGACATGGAACCATTTATGGTGACTCATCCTTCACATTTTAGTGTTGCTGGGACTGTTTGAACAAGTTAAATATAATGCAATGATGATTTGAGTGCCCTTTATACTGGGAAAGTAAAAAAAATATATACTAGTATTTGCTATTCTTCTTCTTTGGAAATATAAATATATCACGTTTAATTTTCTTTACAGGCACCTACGAAAATAACCTATATTTCTTGGCACAATTTAATTTGAACAAGGTATGTATTCATTTCAGATCATTTATGTGCAATTTTGTTAAATAATATTTGAAGTTTCATATCACACTTTATAATTATTTTGTACTTAAATATTTTATATCTGGTGTTTAATACACTTTATTTCAAATATATGAATAAACAATTTGCTGTACTCTGGAATATATTTTGGTTAACAGATATATATTTTTTAAAGTTTAAATTGTATTTTTCAAATGAAGAATTTAAATTATTTTTTTGTCTTTGTAGACCACCTTTACAAGCACTATATTAAAAAATGGTTACGAAAACCCAAATGAAATGAGGCTTGGATTCATCAATATATGGGGAATAGGAAAGACTCTTGTTAATAAGGTTAATCTCATATATAACGGAAATAATGAGTCACTTAGATTTACTCAAGAAGCAGATAAGCAGGTAAGTGATATTAAGAACATAGTTTTTTAAATGGAGCAATTTTAAATATCTACATAGATGTATTTTATTTCTCAGCCTAAGAAACATAATTATGTGACAACTATAACCATTCTTATTCATTTATTCTTATTGAACTTCCATATCTATTTTCATATTATCATCCTTGATAATCTGTCAGACAAGTCAATTTAATGGTATTTATTTTAAAATTGTTTTAACATATTAAACAAATATTATATTTTTCCTTAAATTTCTAAATCATTGTCATCCATGAATGGTAAAATGCCTCAATTATTTTTCCCCCAAAATAAAATATCTTCATTTCAACTTTTAATATGTATTAGATAAGATATATTTGAAAACTCTTGCAAAATTAATAAAATTGTTTATCAGCACTAATGAATAATTTGACATGTGTATAAAACTATAATTCATAGATGAAACAAGAATTCAACATTTTTATGTTAAAATTCCATTACTGCCAGTAATTAGCCTTTTATTTTGAACAAATAATTTTAGGCTTCTGTTTTCTTTGCAATAAATTAAGAATATGCAAGGAAACAATCTCTTAAACTCCTTCCAATCCTAAATTGTGTGAATCCATGCCTTATAAAGGTTGATTTTAAAAAACATATATTCTAGACACCAACTAACTATTGTGATTGTTTGATCTAAGTTTAAGGCTTCATCTGCACCCCTAAAACTGTGTATGTGTGCACATATCCGTTTGTTTAGAGTTGAGTGGAAACAACTACCTATTAATCAACCAGTCTCTCGTGCGAATTTAACTTACACAATAGCCAGTTATTTGACTGACTTCAACTTAAAGTCTAATAATTTGTGTCTTGGACGCAGTGTTAGGTCCTCATAAATTTTGTAGAGTGTGAGAATTAAACATCACCTGAGGGGCCATTTTATCCAAATGAAATTGTCCTATTGTTACTGTTGTTTTGTAGTCAAGTGGGATTTCCCCTTTAACATGAAATTATCTTAATTGAAATACTTAATTTAAATAATTTTATTTCTTTATATTATATAAAGTTTAGAAAATTGGAGTTGTGTATACTTGATATCCTTCATTGGTAAAATAAAAATTGATATTCAAGAGCCTCACCCTAATTTTTCTTCTTTTTAAAATTTTACTGGTTTTTAAAATTCCAGTGGATGGAAGGGAATCACTGGTTTAGTCAGTGGTCTTACATGGCAGACCAAGAAACAATCCTGAAAAGAAAAATTAATTCCCCAGGAGTAAATATTCAATACTTATCAGTCACAATTTGAAATCAGTTTTGTTGAACTGCCTAATGTTCAACAGATAAAAAAAGTATGTTCTGCCTTATATGTTTTCTTGCTCTTTATATACTACTATAATGGTGAAAAATAAAGCTCATGATTTTTACTATAAAAATAAACTAAACACAGTCAGCTGAACAGTGTTAAATATTTTAGCATGTCAAGTATTATTTCAAGTTTATTTTGACCAAATTCTTGGCATAAAACATACTATTTATAATGAAAAGTTCCTTCCACTGAATTCAAGGATATTCACACAAAATTTTAAGTACTAAGAATAACATTTTTACAATGTTTTATTACCTCAGGATTGCAAAAGAAGATATTATTTTGATTAATATTGGAGCATTTCCTTCAAGAACATTTAAATAAAACAAATATTTATGAGCACCTACTATTTTCTAAACCTTTGTAAATATATGGGGAAAGAAGAGAGTAGTCAATTTCTCTCTCTGCCTGGTTTTTCTTCTCCATGGGTGTGGGAATTACATGCAAAGGATGGTTTAATTGCCATATGAATACAGTTTTAAAATCATTTTCCTAGCAATAGTCATGCCTAGTTGCCTTTTGTACAAGTATTAACAGCTATGTGATGTACTTACTGCTTTTCACTTTGATATTAAAAGAACAAGGTTAGCCTTAGCTGGTTTGGCTCAGAGGATAGAGCATTGGTCTGGGAACCAAAGGGTCCGGGGTTTGATTCAGGTCAAGGGCAAGTACCTTGGTTACAGGCTCCTCCCCACCCCGGTTTGGTCAGGGCTTGTGCAGGAGGCAACCAGTCGATGTGTTTCTCTCACATGGATGTTTCTCTCTGTCTTTACCTCTCTCTTCCACTCTGCCTAAAGAAATCAATGGAAAAATATCCTCAGATGAGGATTAACAACAACAACACAAAAGAGAACTAGGTTAAGTTGTGATGTAGGATGGGTCGGTTTCAAACATAAGTAGTGCATATTAAGAAAGTTATTAACGATTACCTTTCTAAACTCTTCTACTCTAAATTGTGGGAAATAAATCCTAAGATGCTGGGCTTTGGTGAATAATAAATTTTATAAAGCCTCTAGGAGAGCGCCTGGTATTCAGTAAGTACTAAGGAAAAGGTGACTCTTCATCCTCTCTTGCACAAGTGATGATTGGATCCAAGTTTTCTGAGCTAAGGCACAGAGAGTATTGGAAACAAAGCAGCAATGTTTACTGACATCATCATACAAAACTGTCACAGATGATTACTTGTGCTCAACTGCTTAATTGGTCACCTCCAAAATTAGTCCCTACGTGGTCTATTTGAGATTCTCTCCCATGAAAAAGAGTTACACACACAAAACTGAAATAATTGGTAATAAATTCAGCATTCTAAAGCCTTTTGAGTTTAATGTCAAAGAAACTTATTCCTAATCTAAATTTTGTGTGTAGATGGCTAGATAATATTTGAGGGTAGGAAGCATAGAGATTTATGTAGTGCAAGTATGAATAACTGAATATGTAGGACTCGTGGAGAAAAAGTAAAGTAATAGAATCAATATAATTGGTTAATAGTCTTAGTTGTTCACCTTCTTTTGAGAACCATCCCACCACCCTGGGATTTATTTTCATCATCTGAATAATGGGTAAGTTGAGTGAAATTATTTCTGAAATGGTTGTGAAATCTCTGGAATAAAAGATTCATCAAAATGAAAAATAAAGTATACCTTGTTTATTTAGAATAAATTTATTTATTTATGGATAAAGTTTTTATTGAAGTAATGGTTCTGATTAAACAATTAATTGTCATTTTTCTTTTTTAGATATTAAATATCAATATGACAATGAATAATGTTATTCTCAATAAACCAATAGTAATCAACTGGTCCTGAAGATCATCATCAATTCCAGTTGCCAAAGGGACATTAACATCTGGATTCATATTTTACCATACTTATAAGCTTTTCTCTTCATTGGTTTCTTATATTGTGTAAAATACAATTTTCATAAGATCAATCTAAAGTTATTATACAAATTGAATACTGAAAATTGTGACAAATGAATAAATAATAATTTTGTTATATTAATGTGGCCTAGAATCAATTTTTAAACCTGTTTAATAGGATTTAAATAGTTCCATTACCCTTGCTAAGTATCAGTTAAAACACCACATTTCCACCACATTAGGTTATGAGATTCTTTCATATTTCAAGAGACTGACTCAGGCACTAGGCTTTATTGTTTGTAAAGGGGGATAAAATGCACAGGTAAGTCAGAGAGCATAAGAAAAAAAAAGGAAGAACAGGCAGAATCATTAGAGAATTATCACCTTTTAATAGTCTGTCACACTCTTAATCCCCTTTTTTATGACTATCTTTATGCAGAACCTACCAATAGCTTTTCTTCTCCAACTTTTGCCTCTGTGCACTCATGGCTTCTATCTCCCACCTTCTCTTTAGATTTCTTGTTTTCAAATCCAAAGAAAAATGGCGTTACCTATTCTTTTGTTCATCTGTCACTATGGAAAAAATCATCCCCAATTTTTAAAATTTAAAACAACAATTGTATTATCTTTCATGGTTTTATGAGCCTTTGTTTGTTGTGCCATGTGGTGAGTCAGATGTAGGTTGGGACTGGAGGTATCAGAAGATTTCATTGGCTAGAAATTCAAGATGCCATCTTCACTTACACTTGGTGTATCACCAGTCATCCTCTAAGCCTCCCTTGACAGTTGATTTTCTTGGACTTATTAGGTGAAAGCTCAGAGCTCCGAAAGGCAGGAATTGATAAAATTTGTAAAAACAGTCACTGACCAAGCCAGGTTCAAGGAGGTGAAAAAAATAGATGTTCTCAATGGAGGTATGGCAAATTGATGTCAACATGTTTATAGACAAGGTTTCAGATCTTTGAGTTTAATATTCTTTTGTTCCAGCTTTCTTTTTCTTCCTTTTCCTTCATTGTTGGTACAGAAAATATTCATTGCTTTCTAAGTATTAATATCACTGGAATTTATATTCAAAGAAATTGTTATATATATATTGAGTGGCCGGATTATTATGACCACCTGACATTTGTAGGCAAATTAGCTATAATTTCACGCTGAAGTTGCTAGAGGGCCAGACCATTATAAATAGGGAAGCAGGATGTTTACCACGACAGTTACCCAAGCACAGGAACACAAGGATTGGAGAGTCAAGCACTGGAAAAAAGTCATGTGGTTCGATGAATCACGTTTCCAGTTGCATCATGCAGATGGCAGAGTGAGAATTTGGCGGAAACAACATGAAAGCATGCACCCCACATGCATAAGTACAACCCTTCAAGCTGGTGGGGGCAGTGTTATGGT